ACAATGGCAAGCAGCTTAAGCATCTTTTCCTCCTTAGGATAAGATGTGTATGTTGAAGGATTCGTGCCTTTTTCAAGGGAATGCAATTGAATGAGCAAGAATTTTCATATGGAGATGTTGTTCAGGTTGCATTAAATTGGCCATTCCCAGTGACACATGTTGTCATAGATAATAAGATTTTTTTTTTAAATATCGCAACTGTTAGAAAGCAAATGGTCAGGAGAATCGTTGACTGATGGCAGTGTCATTAATCTCAAATGCAGATAAGTCTTCCTAGCACCTGAAGTTGCGCTGTGGTACTGTTCTGTCATGGCAGCAGTACTGAGTAGGTAAGTAAGCAGCTCAGCCCAAAAATTTCAGGACAGTGAAAGCTAATCAAGGGATTTTCAGCACCTAGTAGTCGGCATCTCTGCTTTGACTGGCACTTTCCAATGTTAGTAATAAGAAAGGGAATGATGGGCAAGTACCTGAAATGTCTTTGTAGTAGAGAGGAGGACAGGAAACCCTAGAGAAGAATTGAAAGCAAAGGCATCCAGTGACACTGAATAACGTGCATAGAAATTGGTGAGACAGACCCTTGCCCCAAATGCTGCAACTATTTAGTTCAGTCCAGGGGTGCAGACAAAGCAGTACTCATTGTGACTTACTATAATTCTCATGCTTTATCCACCTTGAAGCAGGTTGAAGACAAAAAAGGCATATAGGAAGATACTATTTTGAAATAGTACCTTTGGAACACTCTCTTTTCCAGTCTCTGTTAGAGTGAGCGACTTACTTACCGCACATCTAAACAAAAAAGCCCAAACCAAAAAAGGAACAACAACCAACAGAGCAGATGTGGGAAATACCCACTATCCAAATGCTAGGTTTTGCAGACACAACTGTTGTGGCCTCCTTTCATATGTGTGGACTGTGGGAACTTTGAGGCAAAGAAAACCCCAGTCTGAAATAAAATACTTCTCTCTTAATTTGGGATCATGACAACATAGAAAGAAGTTTAGTAAATCAAAGGTTTTATAATTCCTGTTGCTTTCCTAGGTTGCTCTCCAATACTGTTGTAAATTTCAGTGGTTCTGAGAATGCCTAAAATAAAAACGCTGAAAATATGCAGTTTTTAATATTTTTCTACAACAGGTGCAGCAAGGGCAATGACCTTGTGAAACTTCTTGCTCTGTGCCGTTCCTGTGTACTACAGAGAATCTCCTCTTTACATATGAAAGAGCACATGTATCTCTCTCCCATTGTATTCACCCAAAGATGCTGCTGGGTGCTGACATCTCTGCTGTGAATAGACTTCTCTCTGGCAACCATTGATAGCTGTAATGCTGTACTCAGTGCAAAGTACTAGGCATGCCAGTTTTTTAATGTTCTACTTGGCTGGGTATTTGTAATCACAGGGAGTAGACAAGGACAGGCAGTGAAAAGTGCACTAGGCTTTACACTTGCTCTGCTGTGCTGTGTCAGTGGACTTTAGAAATCTACAATGAGTTGAGTGAAGATGCACAGTGGTAATCAGGTTGTAGCTGCTGAGTGGGAGAGGTGCTGCCTCAGCATACCTGCTTGTTTCTTCTCCTGAGGCACCAGTCTGAGGTACAGAGTACTTAATCCCTCGTTCCATCTGCTTCTTTGTTAGTGAACTCCCCTTTCTTTTGCCATTCTCCATTCCATATCTGGCATTTTAAGTTCATTTCATTTCAGGTTTCAAATCTTTCACAGCCCTCTCATTTGCCTTCTTGATTGCTCCATGTGCCACCAGTCTGTATGTTCCCTCACCCTTCAGTGAAAACAGCCAGGAGATCTTTTAATTCTTAAGGGTTTTGATTTATTAAGCTCTGAAACCAGTGTAAAAATCTGCAGAAAAGACTTCTCATTCTTCACAGAAGTCTGCAGAAAAGACCACTCATTCTTTATAAACTTTAAAATCTTCATCTGAAATTTGTTCCAGAAACTGAGCGGAAAAAGTAAGCTAATCCTGGTGATTCATCAGTTATGAGAAACACCAGTTTCATAAGCCTATATCTTCTTGGCTCCAACTGGGCAATAGATTGAAATGGTATTCTTCACAAAATTTGTGACATTACTGTGGAAATTACTGTGTGGAATCAGTATATGCTCTGCTGAGTTCTACAATAGGATTCTGTGTTTTCGGGGGAAATACAAATGCGCTTCAGAAAGTGCAATAAAACACAGACCAAAAGAAAATGTTAGTTTGGGATCATGACTCAGAATTCTGAGCTAGATTTCTTAACTTTTTTTTTTAATTGTATGGTTGAAGAATGTGATTTTTTGACTTTGAGATTCTTTAATACCATTAAAATGTCTAGATAATTTTTTGAGAGGTACTTTCTTTTGTTTTTGATGCCAGCAACTGTTATTATAAACCCCTTACAAACATCATTTAGGCCTCAGTACATAGGATTGCTTTAAGCTACCACTGATACTAAACATTGTTATTTGAAATGGCTTTAGTCAGAACATAGTAACAGAATAGTTGGTCCATTGACTTGTACATACTCTGAAGATGTATAATATTCCATTGCATGTTGTTGTTTCAAAAATATTTAAATTACTTTGACCCATTAGTCTATTTTAAAGTCTGACTGAATATCTTGGATTGAGAGAACTGAACTCAGTAATATTTAGCTGAAGCAGAGGGGAGTACTGAATGCACCAAACGCATAGTTTACCAAAATTTAGCAGTGAACAAGGACTAGAGTTTCAGCTTCACTTGAAAAAAAAGGCTTCTGCTGAACTTTATGCAATGCAGTTAATAAGGAACAGATTGTGTTACTGTATAAATTTATATAGGAATTTATTCTACAAAGTGAGTTCATATTTAATAAAATAAAATACTGTGACCTATGATATTTTTTTGGCTATTTGAATAAATTTGTTCTGCATTCTCTAAGTCTTGATTTATGTTATTTTTACTGTGTTACATCAATTTTTAAAAATAATCATGATTTTCAAAGTTGAGGTTATATAAACAGACTAAAAACTACTTTTGGCAGGCTGTGCAAAGTAAATCTTAGTACAAATAACGTAACAAGGAAGAATACACACCAGCTAAATAATTGATGGTATGATTGTGAAACCTCTCTTGTTCCACAGCAGTAATCCTATAGTTTCAGAATGCTCTCTAGTAGAAGTAATAGAATTCAAGTAATTCTAAACTTTGTAATCTTGCCCTCAAGGATCATGTTTTCAGTATTATTTACTAGAAGCATGTACCGTGGGAAGGTATTTGCGAAGTCTATGACAAGGTAACAGCTGAAGCTAAAAGGTCAACAAATTCCTCAGTTTAGTGTGGATGATGCCTGCATCTGCAGACAGTGTAATTGTCTCAGGGTTTACAATGGTTAGACAACTTAGAAGGTTTGTATTTTTCAGAGCAGCTCCACATAAAAAAACCAAAACCATCTTGCAAGTTAATACAGTCAGCTTTGGAAATGCTGACAGTTTTGAATCCCAGGGGTTTTATGTAGACATATTTTATCTTTGCTTCCTACTGTAAGCTTTTTCTGCACTAGAATTACTAAATAGATAGATATGTAGGAATCAAGCATTTTTCCTGAAAGTCTGTTACAAATTGAATTCTCAATAAGAGCCATGCATATCTTGAAGGACTGTGTTCATGGTAATAAAAGTTTATAGCAATATGAAATTCTGCAGCAAAATTACTTTACTGTGTGACATTTTTGGTGGAAATAACAAAACACTGTTCAAATAGATTGTAAAATCAATAGTTGTTTTCATAGGGAAAATGGCTAGTCCTGATTTTTTGCACTTACTTTCATTGCTTGCCTGTTCCCTCTGTGATATTCAGTAGAACTAGGTGATTTTTTTATTACAAGTAATTAAAATCAGCTAATTTTGTCATCTCACTGGTCTTTGCTTGTAGGAATTTCAAGAGACACTGATAGTTTTCTTGACTGTGCTTACAACTTATAGTTATTTGATATGTCATGTCTGTGGATAATTTTTGTTCTTTAACTTGCCTGAAAGCAGTTTATTTCAAGTCCTCACAATGTAGAATTGACCCTTGCCCAGACAGAATTTATTGTAAGATGAATCAAAGTCTTGAAGTCTTTCTGAAGCTGTGTTAATTTTAGTGGTCTGAAGGCTGTCTTCTTTTCTGTTCAGTGCAAAATTGAAGCTACCAGACTGTGTAGTTGAAACACTCAGAATCTGCACTGGACCTCAAATGTATTCTGATTACAAATTTGACACACACTTTACAAAAATACATTTCAATATACACATGACATTTTCTGTTTGAAAAGTACTTGTTTCCATTATTTCTGACTGAATATTCATTTACTGTCACTCATAAATAATGGAAACAAGTACTTTTCAAACATGGCTGAGCTTAAATAGTATTGATATGCAAATATTAATATATGTTCTGCAGTTTATCCAGCCATCATTGACCAGATTTGTCTGATAAGCATAGCACTTGGAAGCATAATTTTAAGCAAAGTGACATTTTATTTATATGTATAATTACACAAATATTGTTTGTATCTTTTGTACAGAATTTTTTAAAAGTAACATTATAAAATAGTGACTACAGATTAAAAGAAAGTTGCTGAAAGAACTAATTCCATTAAGGATCCATGCTGTAATGCTTTTTGTTGTTTAGAGCACAACTTTGTTCTCTTGGTTTGTTCAAAAATTGCTCAGATCCTTATGACAGAAATCTGCTCCATCCAGCGTCCAAGTTCTCAGTTCTGGTCAGCACTGTATGATATAAGCCTCTGCATAACATAGCAGCTGTTTCCAATTTGTTGTGCCAGAGACTCTTAAAAATGTTTCTTTCATAGCATCAACACCTGATGACTTCACTGGAACTTAAACTTGGATTTGACATTACATAACTGAACTCTAATCTAAGAGAAATAAACCACCTTAGTTTTAAGCTGTCTTATCCTAACAGAAAAGAAAATTACACATTGTGCAGAAACAGATAAAGATAAAGGTCTGGCTGTGCAAAGGTTACGATGGCATTAAAATGTGCCACAGTGATTCTCTGTGAGAAGAAAACATGAAAGAATCATGGGATAAGAGAAGCAGTGAAAAGACTCTCAAGTAAATATGCAAATGTTGAAGAACATTTCATGGTCCATAAGATGTCAGAATATGGTCTATGAGATGACTGCAAACACCCAACCCTTCACACTTCCTTCCAATTCGTGTTTATTTTTAAAGAGAATCAAGAGAGCAAAGAAAGTAGAAATAGAACTGTCAGCCTTTAAGCTAATTAGTTGTTGGTTGAAAATCAAAACAATATTGTCAATGTCATTGTTTTTTCTTAAAAGAAGTTACTTATTCCTCCACTTGAAAAAAGTTGATAAATACTGTCTAGAAAAGCACTAGATGAAAATTATGAATATAGAATTAGGTATAGATGATAATTACATTATCTGACTTGATTATAGCTGAGACCTGTCCGTGCTTTCATCTCATTTCTGAAGCTCACAAGATAATCATAATATTTGGAGGGTTGAGAAGGGTTGCCTGGATTGGTAAGGTCGACGGAGAACATTTTACATATTTTAGATTCACAATTTATTTTTAATTATTCTTTTCTTTTTCTACAGGGATGCCCTCTGCTTCTTTATTAGTTTATTTGCTTTTAGCATTACTCATTCATTTCACATCTGGAGAAACAGAAGTGAAGTTCAGTGGACAAACAGAATTTGTAGTTAATGAAACAAGTACAACTGTTATACGTCTTGTAATTGAAAGGACAGGGATTCCTGCTAACATCACAGCAATTGTGTCGGTAAGAAACTATGCCAGTTATATTCTCAGTAAATATTAATATCTTTCTGGTTTTGAATGTTGCCTATGTTTTTATCAAGCCAGTGAAAAGGAGGGTGGTGTTTCCCTGGGGCAATGCTTCCCTTTGAAGAAGCAACAATCTGTTTCTCTAACTGGGTATATTACTGCTGGCTGCATCAATGGTTTCAAAATAATGGTATAAACATCTCCTCAAGAAGACAGCTCCTACTGCTCAGGTAGAAGCCCAAAATTATATGCTTGTTTGATTTTGATTGTGGCTGTGAGTTCATACTGAAAATGTGTATATATAGCAATTTTTCCTTTTCTAGATTACTTTAGAACCTGCAATTTAATAGCTACTCCACTGTTTGAGTCAGATTTTCGTACGACTTTTTAAAATTACATTGTTCAATTAATTGGGAGATCAGAGTTAGTATTTTTACATTATTTCCTTTATTTCTTAGCTGTTACTAGGTATGATCTCGATTATATTCCCTTTAAAATTTGAACTCCTTAGAACGTGCTATACCATATGTGTATGGAGGAAGATGCTATGTGGTATGAGTACCATATAAGAACACAGCAGTGTATCAGAGAAGAGATACTGCTTATGGATTTCTGCAGTCTGTAGACAAAAGAAATTGTCTATGTTCCTGCACAATATTTTATTCTCCTGTAACTAAGTATGAAAAATACATGTCTTAGAAATCACAAGGAATAGAAATTGATCTGTAAGGATTTCACACTTTATTAACATCTGAGGAGAAAACCTTGAGAAAATGTGATGCACTTTGAAACTAGTGCTCTTCACAGGTGTAACAAGCAAAGTAACTTAGTTTCCTTATTAAGGACCTGAAATTCCAAATTTTGTGTCTAACATGAATATTTTGAGCACTTTTTTAGGAAGATGTTTATAGTCTGTTTTTGTAAGAGCTTTTTGGTATGTTTAGTGTTGGCTCAGGTATGTAAAAAGTAGTTGCCAATATGTGCAATGATAGGTGGGAGCCACAAAAATACCTTCCATACTTTTTTTCATCTTCACTGAACTTCTAATTTTGCTGTTCTCAAACGAAAAATAACCTTTTCCACAATGGTTCATTCAAACCTTTAGTGCCTATAAGAATGGTAGTTTCAGGGGTGTGGCAGATGCTGGTTCAGTTGCTTCTCTCCATTTAGTCTCAGCTTCCAACTGTAAATTTAACTTGACACTACAGACTTTGCAATCTCTCCTCTAACCACCTTATGTACAGTAGAATCAGTGGGATTTTCTTTTGTTGACTGAAATGAAAGCAGGGCTGTTGATTATAGAAGACTACATCTTGCCAACTTTGGCAATAAAAATGTTAATCTAAGTTAAACACCTAGGCTCATTCTAGTCCCTAGAGTGACACAGGAAGGCAGAGGGAAGTTGCATCTTCAGGTAAGTTTAATTCAGGTAGGGTATTATCAGGTATACAGATCTGTGCTAGGCATAGCTTTTCCATTAAAAAACTGGTCATATGGTGCATTATGCAAAAGATACCCAGTTGCAAGGAAGGAAGTCATGAATGGTTCTGAATAAAGTCCTGCTGCGACAAGACAAGGGGTAATGGTTTTAAACTAAAGGAGGGTAGATTTAGACTAAACACAAGGAAAAAATTTTTCACAATGAGGGTGGTGAAACACTGGAACGGGTTGCCCAGAGAGGTGGTAGATGCTCCATCCTTGGAAACATTCAAGATCAGGTTGGACAGGGCTCTGAGCAACCTGATCTAGTTGAAGATGTCCCTGCTCATTGCAGGGGTTTGGACTAGATGACCTTTAAAGGTCCCTTCCATCCCAAAGCATTCTATGATTCTATGAAAGTGTTGTGTTTGTTTTGTTTTTTCCTGGTTACTCAGCATGGATACAAGGGGCTATTATCTCTACCTTCTGTCTGGAAATAAACTGTATGACAGCAGGGGAAATTGTGGTAAGAATTATGTGCAAAGAGTGTATATAGTCTGATAAATGAGTCAAGAAAAATATTACAGAAGACGGTGGGGGAAGAGGGAGGTGGCATTCAATTGTGTATTTGTTGCAGATTGATGGAGAAAACACAGGAGACTTTTTTGACACATATGCAGCTGCATTTATACCCGATACAGAAACAAACCGAACAGTGTATATATCTGTCTGTGATGACGATCTTCCAGAGGCTGATGAGACATTCACGTTTTACTTGACATTACCAGTGAGTCTCAATTTTTCAATTTATCTGTTCCCCAGAAAACAGTGGGTAATCTAACATAAATTAATGGTATCCCATAGATTTCAATGTAGTCATACTGCTTGTGAGTCTGAATCCTAATAGGTAAGAACTAAGATCTGGAGACTAGCCAGGATGGTGCTTACTGCTCTTTAGAAGGTTTTGCCATTCCTGTGGGTGTCTCTATGTGATGCTGCTGTGCAGTAGAGACATAGTCTAAAACTTCAGTGGGCACTACATTCAACTGTGGACATTTGAAGGTGTACTAGAGCCTGGAAGAGTTAGATTGTGAAGAGACTCTTAGCCTTTCCTGTTTTCCTGCACAGACTGTACCTGGAAGAGAGGGTAGAAGTAGCAAAAGAAAGAGGATGACTTCCAGCCCTCCAGAAGCAGAGGGTAAACAAGACTTACCTAAAAACAAACAAACAATTTTTAAAATACTTATCAATACGTGTCTTCATATTGTTCTGGAGACATATTGTCTTCATATGTTCACAGGAGTCGTGCTACAAGAGAAGAGTTCACATTCGCTTTTTTGGGGGGGTAACAGTTCATGACTAAGTTTGATGTCAGTTCAGTAAAGATAAATTGTATGGTTTTTTGCCAATTATTACACATCTCAGGGAATGTTTGCAGGGAATATAAAAATGCATATTTTCCCTTCCTTCTTCCTTTGATTTGTAAATGTAGTAGCTCATTTTTACAACAGTGTACAGATTTGTTTCCTTTAGCTGATATGTCAGTATAATGGCTTCAAAGTTCCAGCTTTATACAAATGTTAGGAAGAAAAGAACAACTTGGGAGTTCCTGGCAGTGCTACATGCTTCATACCTAGTTCCCTTGTGCTATAGTGTGATTAATAGATTGCCAAAATATGATTAATCATTTACAAAGTTTGTTTCAAGCAATTTGTTGTTGACTTTATAGAGTGTATTTCCTCAGTAATTACATTTATTTTGGTGCATTCTATTGCTTTAGATAACTTCCATTGCAGTATATAATAAAAAGACATACAATTTGTCATAGGCTAATATTTACTTTTAAAAGACAATAAAATCAAAATGCATATTTTTTGCCCATCACCATATTTAATATCTTATTCTGTTTTGTTAATTTTAGAAACCATCTGCAAGGATAAAGCTTGGCTCACCCAAATCTGTCACTGTAACAATCTTATCAAATGACAATGCCTTTGGAATAATTTCTTTTAACATGGTATGGCTTTTTATATGGTACATGTGAAAAATTTAGAAAGCGTAAAGGTGAAATTTTCAAAGATGCTGGTTAGTTGTTCAACTGAATCCCTTGAAAACTGATTGTGAGTTACATCTTTGAAAACATCTCTAGAGGTAATTAATACTTATGTATGTAATTCATACATATATACAGCTTTAATACTTCTATACGATTTTAGGTGTTGAGACATGGCCTGAGACCTTCACACTTGGATAAATAACTATGTTGCTCATGTTAAATATAAAACTTCTAAAAAGTTGTTCAGTCTCACTGCCCCTCATCTGTAAGTCAAGATGTTAATATAGTATGGAAGAATTGAAGAGTAATACCATAGGAAAGTTAAATATTCGATTTGGAAGTCTTGAGAATATATACGTTTTCCCATCTCTAGTGAGCAATTTTATACTTAACTCTCAAGCTGAGAGAACACTATCATGACATATGCATTGTATAACACCTTCTGCGATAAGACACTGGCATGACTCTAGTGGTGTGGAGGATATTTGCAATTATACAGAGGTTGCATTAGTAGAAAGAGAAGCTGTATCTTACTGCCAGCATTGCGGCAATATAATTTTTGTAGAGGACTTCCCTGAAAAAGCACAAGAGCATAGCAAACTTTTAGCACCATGGTACTAAGCCATGCTGCTCCCTGAATTAATGTAATTCTTTGAAATCTTTCACCTACAACAGTTTGATAGACAGAGTCCATTTATAGCTAGTTATCTAACAAATTACTTTTTAATGGAGAAAACCTATTTTAAACAGGGTTAGGAGCTCCTATAAATACTAGTGCTAATATGCCAGTGCTTTGTGTGTATTGACTATGTTAATTTACAAAACAACCCCCACACTACTTGCATAACTTATGATATTTTTTTTATCTGAAATCTTTCAAGCTTTTTATTAGCTGAACTAATTGGTTGCTAGGAAATGTATGCCATCAGTGGACGGGTTTGCAGATTGGATTAACTTGTCTGTAGGAGTTTGGTATTTCTATGGTAACAGTTTCTTCCTTCTGCTGTGATATTTGATCTGTGCCTGATTGCCTGTCCCTTTTCTTCCTCATTAGTCTGCCTTAATCACAGTGAATGAGCCCAGGGGCAGAAATGAATTTCTGGCTCTCACTCTAATTAGGGAGAGGGGAACCTATGGGACAGTCATCATAACTTTTGAGGTGAGTTTATCAAAAAGGCTTCATGCCTTAGTCTGTTGGATGAAACTGTGAGGCCATAATCATAACTTATCAAAATGTTTATAAAAGTGAAAGAGGGGAAAAATACCTATGTCTACATTTGTTAAATCTGTTTCATGAAATGGAAAGGTATTACCTGTCAAATGGAAAATATTGTAATTATCTGACTGTTTAATTTGAGGAAAAATTAAGAGATATTAGAGAAAACTGAGTATTCTCTTTCATTTAGGAAGATATTGGAGGCAGCATTAGTTGGTATTACTAGAAAACTGTGTATTAAGTGTGTAAGAAATGTCTTATTTAATACTTCTTCAAATTTTATATCTATTTTACAAATGAACATCTGAGTGAATCTTTACTGCTTGTGCCAACTTTGAACATGGAAGTATGAGAGCTCAGTATTTAGTGAAATTCTGTACCTGTAAGACTGCCGTTTGAATCCCCAGAAACTAAACCACTCATGTTGAATATTTACGCTGTTATTGATGTATTTGATTTGAATGTGATACAGTTATTGCCTTTATTAGTTTTTTTTTTTTTTTATCTAGCTCCAATTTTATTACATACTTTAAAATTATATATAAATTCTTCCATATGGATATTTCTTTATCAGTTGACTGGTCTTACACATCATCAAGGCTTTAATCTAGACCTGTCAAAATCTGAAAAGATTTGTGCTGGATTTTATTGCATACTAAATATAGCATGTATAGTTAAAGTACAGAATGAGATTATCTCTGTAATTTATTGCAGATCTGTTTGTTTTAAGGTCCAACAAATTTAATATCTGCACAATTAATCAGGTCCATCTCATAATGTAGTTTATATACATATGTTGAAAAAAATTTACAAGATTTTCTAAAAAAAAATCACCATATTGCCTCTAAGTGGCTTCGTAGTCTTTTAGGTTTCACTATTAAATGTAATATCCTTAATATCACAAGTCAAGGATACAAAACCAGTAACTGCTATTATTTTGTCTTGGAACTTATTACGAAATACTAGTGATTTAAATTAAATTAGAATGAATTTCCTTTCTGTTATGTGAAAGAGTCAATTATGCATTAGTAGATACCAAAGAGTCCTCATAGGCCTATATGGAAGTTTTCTTCCTCTTTTTCTGGCAGTACATAATTTCTTCAGAGTGGTTACTCTGACTTACTCCATCTACCACAAAAGAGCAGATTTCACAGCTAAATATATGTGCCTGTGAGTAGGAGGTGACTGAATAGGTAGTCATTTGTTATCTACATCACACACTGTATATTGATTATTGTGCTTGTATTAGATTTGTATTCCTTCTGTATATATTTCTTATTGTAAAAATAAATTCTTTGCAGATAGAAGATGGACCAAACCCAGCTGAAGAAGACTTAAGTCCAGCTAGGGGAAATATTACATTTACCCCTGGGAGATCAATGCTGATTTATAATTTAACAGTGCTTGATGATCAGGTAAGAATAAGCTGACTTCATTTTTGGTTTGGAAATGTAGAAGGTTAACTGCTGAACTGGAGAGACTTGGAGTAATAAGTTACAAAAATGCTTGGTTTCAATAAGGTTAGACGTGCTTCTACTTAATAAAGTGATGTTAAATTTTGGCTCTATGAGCTTTTATTTTTACTCATTCTAATACTACCTCTGTAACTCTCATCAGTGAATATTTTTAGTTTCTGAACATGTCCTGGCTGCTCTGACTGGACCTGTTAGGTGCTACTGCAGTAAATGTATAAACAATCAAGAAAGCATTATACTTTTTTTCAGATGCAATACTGAGGTCCTTGTTGTATGGCCAAGGATGATGTTCTTGAACTAGATCTAGGTTTATCTATTAGACTGTCCTTTCTATATTTAGCTTTTCTGTATTTCTTTTTAAATGTGGTCTGCTTTTCCCTAATTATCTGCCTTGCAAATTCAGGTTATGTTTGCATAATGAACTCAGGCTCTCCTTTTTGTCTTTATTGTTTAGGCAAAAGGAACCTAATCGTAACATTGCTTACATGATGCATTTTTGATTACATCCTCAGTGATGCCTGTGCAGCTGCTCTGCCTTCAGTTAACAATGCATAAGAATCCAGTTGATTCTTTGTTAACTTGATTGGCTCTCATTCGTGTGAAGAGTAGACATGTTATGTTTACCAATAAAGAAAGAATATAACACATCATTGAATATTCACAGAGAAAAGACAGATTAAAAAAAAATTATATGTGTTTATATTGGTATGTTTCAGGGTAGAAACATATTTTAAAAAATAGTTCTAAAAATAAATAATATTCATCAAAGAAACAGGCAATCTTGTGAAGAGCATGAACACTAGCTGATAATTTAAAATTTTCATTTTTAGATTGGCCTTTAAAAAAAAGTCGTGAGCCTTTTTTTCTATTTCAGTGTAAACAAAACATATTATTCTACTTTTCAATTTGTGATTTGCATTTTTATTACACATTTTTTTCTGCTTTTTTTAAATTTCTAATGGGGATGAGAGGGAAAACAGAGGCATCAAATAAGTAAATATGATACAGAACAACTTTATGAGGAAATTCACAAGCAAAAATTAATAGCAAAAAAGTGCCTGTCTCAGAAGTGAGGAACTTTAAAGCAATTTTTTGGATATTGCTGTTATAAAAAGTGGTTTTCCATATCTATACTGATATTTTTAATGTTAAGAGACTGTGCCAGACTGGCGTGTAGAAAAATCTCTTTCAGATTAGATGTAATACTTCTGAGACTTATACACAGAAAGAAATCATTAAGCTTTTTGGGAAAATGTGATTATTTTTTTTTTCGTCTGAGAAATGCTCTCAAAGTTCTGTTTCTCAAAGTTTGATCTGCACAGGTGTGGCTGGTCCACTCAGTGAAAGTCTTTCACAGGCGTACATGAAAGATTAATTTTGCATAAAAAACCTTTATTGATGATGATGATGATGATGGAATTGACAAGAATCCAATGTTACTCTCGGAACTTAGTTTGAGCTTTTAGGATCTGAAGTTAGGAAAAACAATGAAACAAGTATTTTTCAGAATTGGGTAGCACTTTTCCTACAGAAATTAGGGGACTGCAGATCTGATTGCCACTGCGCTACATTTATAGTAATTTTATTGTGTATGTTTCCCTTTTTAGTGAGGAATAATGGAAACTTTGTTAAGAGAAATTGAAAGAGGCGAAGCAGCACTGGAAATCCTTTATATTGTTGTCTTTGAAGTTTGACTGGTTTTTTTATTGGTCAGTCATGATCCCATTAAGAACTCCAAAATGTCCCATTTATATGAGATACTAAGATATGAACTACAACAAGAAATTTTGACTGTCTATTAAATGTATATTTTTATGGTGCAAGATGGTATATTAATTAATGAACTAAACGAAATGTAAGTTAGCGTCTATTCTAATAAGGTAAAATAACTGTGTTGAACCTCAGTATAGGAGAGAGGTGACTGAGAGCTTCCAGATCTCACGTTGACAAAAAAACCTACATCAGTCAACAACATTATGCAAGTTTAAGTGCCACAAGCCAAACAAGGGACAGAATTGGCATCAGCTATAAAGGCAGTTGCATGCACACTCTCTTAGCCTTAGAAAAGGATCTGAGGGTGGCCAATTAACAAATGAGTGTGAAAGAGAAGAAATATTGGACAGCAGGGTTTTCAGAGCTTTTTTAGCTTGGTAAACAAAAGTGCATGAAAAGGATTTGTCAACTTTATAACGGAGTATTACCATTAGCAAAAAAAAAAAAAAGTAATTTTGTCCTGGAATTCTTTTCAGAAGCAAATAATACTAGTTTCCAGGAGTCCACAGCAAGGATGAGACGAAAAGATCATAAATAATTTTTAAAGATTTAGTTTTTACCTATAAGTATTAATAAAATAATAATATTTTTCAGTTAAATAGGTTTTGCAAATCAAGATTTGGGGAATAAAATGTGGTAACAGAAAGCAAAAATTTAATCCTTAAGTTCTGTAATTTGTGGTTTATAAGCCATTCTTTATTGTCTGCTGCATCAGATATTGGAGAAGAAATAGCTAAAACTAAAATGTAGTTTTAAACAGTCATCTTGTAGAAATGCCAAAGCCTAATGAATTGCTAAGCACCAGAAAACACTTTCTCAGATTTGTGATGGAAATTTTCCCTGGGGATGTGGGTGTATCTGAACGTAGGAAGTGTTCCTTTTCCAGTTGTATGGGAATGGATGGGCCAAGGTAGGTTGTGTCCATAAGTCGTTCCTGCATTATTTCAGGCATGCATAGAGGTTAATCAGTGTCAGCATCAGAAAATCGAGATGTAAATCTAAATAACTGGGAGGAACGTTTGTTTCCAACTAGAGGTGGCTTCCAGAAGTAGAGTTTGGATTTTCTCATAGTCTCAAGTTGGAAAGATCCACCTTTTTCTGATTCTTGCCTAGTTTTTGTTTTGCTTTTGTTTGGCTTTCCACCCTTTTTCATATTGCCATAGCACAGAAGCATGTTTTAGAAGATGGAAACAATCAATTTTGAGAAGGGATTTTCAGCCAAAGTTAAAAGCAAAACTTCTCTTCTGTTTGTTTTAATATAAAATGAGCAGTCGAGTTTGTATTATTTACCTTTTCTGCAAAATATATAAAACATATTTCTCAGTAAGTGTTCCGCATTTATATTTCAGATACCTGAAAATGATGAATTGTTTGTTGTTCATCTGAGGAGCGTGGAGGGAGGAGCTGAAATCAACAACACAAAAAATTCTGTTCAGATTAATATTAAGAAAAATGACAGTCCTGTGCATTTTGTTCAGAGTGCTTATATGGTGCCTGAGGAAGTTGATCTGGTAACAATTCAAGTGATTCGTGGTAAGGATGTCAGTGGAAAATTAATTGGACCTGATGAACATGAAGTCTCTGTCAGTTACGCCATCATAACTGGTGACTCAACAGCACATGCGCAGCTTAATGTAGACTTCCTAGATCTACAGCCAAATGCAACTATCTTTTTCCCACCTCTAGTTCATGAAACGTATATGAAATTTAAGATCCTTGATGATGCCATACCAGAAATTGCTGAGACCTTTCAGATTATGCTTCTTAAGGACACTTTGCAGGGAGATGCTGTTTTGGTTAATCCATCTGTTGTTCATGTCACCATCCAACCGAATGATAAACCCTATGGAGTACTATCAATCAACAGTATCCTGTTTGCTCAGACTGTTATCATTGATGAAGACCAGATTTCAAGGTACTACAGATCTTCAAATCTAGTATCTAGTCAGTTTAAGAGATTTGTTTGGCATTGTTAAGGATTTCACTGATTATTTCACTGATTATTACTTAGGATTTCACTGAAAATAATTACTGAAAATATAACGTAGAAATCACTTAATGTGTTGTTATTATTAACAACTATACCTACAAAGATTTCAAGGAAGTGAGAATGTCTAATTATATGGGAAGTTTTTTAATATTTATGAACTGTTTGTAAAAACTGTAAATATCTTTCTTGCTGTAAACAAAATAAGTTCTAACAGATATCTTTAGAGACATTACAAAGAGCTCATGAATAAGCACTCTAAGAAAAGTCTTACATGTGTGTTATGATTTCACAAAGTTTAAGCCCTGACTCAAATGTCAGTTGCAGCAGTTAATATTTATTCCACTGAAGTCAGTGTAAATCTTTCAGGGAACTGATAACTAAGCAAGCCAATATTAATTATAATTTTATATTGTGGGGTTTTATTTTCATTCAAAACTGTAGGTTTGAAGGGATCATGATTGTGAGAAATGGTGGAACACATGGAAATGTTTCTGTTACCTGGGTTATAATCCGAAATAGCAGTGATCCCTCACCTGTGACTGCAGACCTCATTCCAGAGACCGGGGAGATATGTTTTGATCAAGGACAGATGCTGGTAACACTTCCTCTGAACGTTATTAATGATGATATACCAGAAGAGGCAGAGCCCTATCTTCTGAAACTCTTAGCTCATACAATACAGGGAGGTGCAGAAGTCAGTGAACCATCTGAGGTAAGTTTGCTTTTAGAATTCTTTTGGAGAAGGTAATAATAGGTGATAATTAGGGACTTTACTGGTTTTGATAAGATTGATTGATTGGCTAAACCGGCTAAAGGGTTTGGGTTTGAATATAAATCAAACAAATAATATAAATATTGAATATAAATCAAACAAATTAATCCTTAATATAATCTTAGTAATCTTAGTATATAATGCCATATCGAAAATATTTGGCTTAGTATAGTATACAAAGCCAGACCTTTTCAATACGGTAGCATTCAGCTTAGATTATTCCCAACATACACAGCATTGCATAAATGCTGTCTTGAGTGACTGCTTGCTAAGAGAAGGCAGGAAAGTTATTTTCACTTGCTCATTTGCTGTCATAATGATTACTGGAATATTTTACACAGAGTAACAGCTTCAAGAGGAGGAATTGGTGATTAAGACTGTAACCTCTGGACTGTTAATTAAAGGGTGGCTGGCATTATTGACATTTTTGTGACTCAAATCCCTACTGTGTTTTTCTTAAAAAATAGTTGGAATGATCTTGGTGAATAAAATGAAATTTTTCACAATCTGAAACATTTTAAAATTGTTCAGTTTGGCTGGTGAACCAAAAAATAAGTTATTCAGAGCTCATTGTGGCACATGGATGATGCATAGTGGGAAAGCAGCCACTGTTAGTGTTATGCTGCTTGTGTACATGAACCAAAAAATCAGTTATTCAGAGCTCATTGTGGCACATGGATGATGCATAGTGGGAAAGCAGCCACTGTTAGTGTTATGCTGCTTGTGTACAAAGAATACTTTGGGGCTGTCAGTTTGATTTCTTTCTTGAGTGCCAATTCACTAAGGAGAAAAATGTATGGTGACAGTCAGGACATGCTTTTGTGAAAGCATGAGAACTATCATCTATAGTAACTGTAGCATAGAGTAAGTGATGCTGTTTTCTGTTTTGCAGCTTCTGTTTTACATTCAGGACAGTGACGATGTTTATGGTCTAATAAAATTTTATCCTTTGGAGAATCAGAAGATTGAAAGTAATCCAACGGGACGCTTTCTATCCTTGAGTTTTGCAAGGGAGAGAGGAACAGTTGGAGATGTGCAGTTGGTTTATACTGCACTGTATATTCCAGCTGGAGCTCTGGATCCTGAGAGAGCGAAAGATGGCATTCTAAATATGTCTAGAAGAAGCATTCTCATGTTTCCAGACGGAAAGACACAGGATACTTTAAATATACCAATAAGAAATGATGCATTTCTTCAGAATGGTGCTCATTTCCTCGTACAGGTATCTCAGTTGTGTTTTGTGGTGTTTTTTTAGCCCATGTAATATAAACGATATAATTTAGTAAGGCTCCTTCCCTTTTAATTTAATTAAAATCATCCTACATGTTTTAAAAAAAAAAAAAGAAAAAAGTTATTAGCTCTGTAGCTAAGAAAACTTTCTTATTTAGAGATAGCTTCTATAAATATGCCATAAAGACCTCTATTCCTAATCATTATTTACTAATTACACTATTTTTAAAAATTAGACTGTTGTAACAGGATTCAGGTATTAATCATGGAATTTAGCAAAATGAGATTAATGTTGCAGAAGCTAGTTACCTTTTGAGGTATGTTTCTCTGTCTACCCCTTGGCTTTCAATTTAACCAAATTAAGGTTCTTAAAATTGAATTACAGGAACATGACAAATTTTAGAAATGACAAGCAAGTAAATATATATTAAAAATAGTAAAACATATATTTCATTTACATATGAATTTGTTCAGAGAACTTAAAAAATATTTTTTCCATTTTTCACTGTGTAGTGTTCCTTGCTGCCCTTTTGGTTTTTTTTTCCTCTTTTTTTTCTTTCTGAACTTGTAAGAAGGGAACTTCTATCATTGCTAATTAAAACCAGCTAGAAAAAAATCACTAAAACTGTGGTTTTGACAGAAAGCTGGATTTTCAGCAAAAATATTTAAAGACAGAATTTCTGCTTTCCAATGAGGGCTCTCATTTTTCACTGGAGAAAACCAAGTTTGCTTGCATTTTTGCAAGATGTTGTTCAGATATACTGCTGAGGAGGATTCTGGGCATTGTCATCAGTATTTGTTATGATAATTTTCTTATCTGCACTTAAGACTGCCCCATAATCTCTACTTTCTGTGATTAACTATGCCACTCTGGTCATCTGGGGTGAAAAGCCCAGGTAGTGATCTTGATGCACAGACAAAGGGATGACTTGGCACATCCAAAGCACAAATCAGAGAAGCATTTTTTAGTTCCTGTAGAGGCATTTCTTAGTTCCTTTTAATATTTTAATTTTAAGTCAGATGTTTTTAGAGTTTTCAAATGAAGATGTTGATATTAAATCCATAGATTTAAAATTTGCCAGGTTTTGTCTCTAACTTATGGTCTACTGAAGATGTTTTAATTACTTCTGGGACCTTGAAAAGATTACTTCCATCCACCTCCTGCTCCCCACATTTTCTTAAAATGTAAAAAAAAAAAAAAAAGAAAAAAAAAAAAACCCTTGCCAAGACCTTGCGAATTATATTATTGTTTTACTAGTATGCAATTTTTGGCATTCATGGTTAGATAGGGAATGGCATTCTGGAATACTAGAATAGGTTATTATGTTTTACGTCTGCACTAGATCTGAAAGATCTACAGAAGAATTGAAATATCTAATTCCAAGCCCCTTTTAAATGATACAATATAAATAACATTGCAGTGTGGACTATGGACAAAACACACACATGATAAGTATTTCAGAGTGCAGGCACTTTGCCCGGCTTTTCAAACTGCGGATTCCAGGGAGGCGGAGAGGGGGGTGAATGTTCCATACTTTCTCCATGAACCATAAAAATCTTTTTGTTTGAATAAACAAAATCAGAGGGGCTTTCCAGTACAGAAAATTCATTTAGAAACTCATAGAGAAGGAAGGAAAATACCCCTATTTATCACTATGACAATCCTTCTACATTGTGAATAAACGATAATCTCTGTGAACATGTTGAGAATTAGAAGATTACAGAGTTTATACTAGGCACAATGAAGGATCAACTCAGGAATCAGGGGAGGAGGAGTAGAGGAGGAAATGAAGCTTAAACACAATGAGAGAATGGATAAAGTAACTGGAAAAGTGAGATTAACATTCTTCAGTGACACCTTCAATTAAATAACCTACTGTCGTCTGAGGTGCAGTTTTTGGTATGGACAGGAAGATTAACAAATTTAATAAACTACTTATCATTATTATTCAATTCACAATGCATTCTTTTTTCCTCATGAGCTGATTTGCTTTAAAAGGAAAGACTGGACTAAAAAAAATTTCTTGGTTCTTCATTAATTATTAATTTTATCTCAAAGTTACTATCCAGGATCCGAAGCACTTAACAAAGTGAATTGTTTCAGCTGTGGAGTATTTCAGAAACTTTACTGAGCTAACAACCACACAGTGGTCCACCTGCATACTGTTAATTGCAGGATCAGGGCCTACTCTAAAAGAAAGCTTAGAAAACAAGAGAAACAAACAGTCCCACCATTTGTTCCTCAGACTCTCAATAACTAGCTGATATGGCTGAGAATCAATTACTGAATACAGTATTTGTAAAACAGTTCCATCTATCCTCTTATAAAATGTGCATGAATATTTTTGTGCATTACTCAAGCAATGGTAGAACAAAGTATGATACCGCCCAAGTATTTTATATAGATTGGTTTTAAGAATTGAAGGGCTTTAAAACTCATCAGTTGAAATGGTGATTCATGGTCACTATATGGATTTAAATAAGGCCACTTTCCCCTGCTCCAATAAAACCTTACTATATGATAACATCTGATAACTCCAAGCAAAAAACATCCTTCTGTGAGTTAAACGTGGTTGTCACTGGGGGTTCATTCTCCAGTGAAAAGTTTGCAGAAATATATGCAAATCAGTTATGGAAACATTTATTATAATGATGCATGTGGACAGAATCACATGGTATAAATTATATTTGAAATAAATATTTAAACAGGCAACTCCTGCTCTCCTTACTATGTCAGTACTGCTGCTGGGTTTAGTGAGTGATATGTCCCATTCAAAGAAAGGGTAAACGTTTTTCTATTTCTTCTTAGTAGCAATAAACCATCAGAAATATGGTAACACAAGAGGATACTACAGTTTCGAAATACTGATTTTCAGTTCTGAATGCAATTCTAAGGTATTAGTAATTATAAATAGAGAAGTCCTTTAAATTGTGTGAGAGAGGAAGAAAGATTGGTTGATTCTCTGGCTTCATCAGAGGCTGTAAATTATTATTGTTCCAGTCACTTCAGCAGAATTTTATCAATGCATGGCACAAAAAATGAAGTTAGGACAATAGCTTGGGCCACCTGTCAAATCAGTACTGTTATTCATAGGTCTAATAATGAATTGACTGATCTAGAATGTTCATTCTCCCTCTACATAGATTTAGTTGTACACACAAACATGATTTGTCTGAGAGGTATACCATTCTGCTGACAAAGCTCAATGGTATCCACTTCATTTCTTTGACACAACTGCTTATACATTTTTGTAACAGCAATGTTGCCAGTAAGAGAAATTTGTTCTGGAGATGTTTTGCTCTCTGCATATGAAACTTATTCTGAAATGTCAGAATTGTTCTGACTTGGTACTAAGGTTTCTTATTTCTCAATTTTTTCTTACTTTTTCCTACAGCTGGAAAAAGTTGAGCTGGTGAATAGAATTCCTCTAGTCCCACCTGTGAGTCCTAGATTAGGTGAGATTCGAAATATTTCTCTCAGGATTACTCCAGATATTGCAAATGGAGAAATAGGCTTCACTAGCAATCTTCCAATTATTCTTTCTGAGCCAGAAGATTCTGCTGATAGAGTGGTAAGTAAACCTTTTTATATTGTCCCTTACTATGGAAAATTTATTTGGAGAAAGCAAAGTTTGCTATATTCAGTGTAACATATGAAAGTTAATGTGAGGAAAATCCTTCCTCTAAGTTCTGCCTGATCCCAAATATTCCCTTGCTTTTAAAAAAAAAAGGGGGGGGGGGAAGTGTTTGTAAAACTAAGGTCTGAAATAATGTGTTAGTCATTATCAGAAAAGTGAGACTGATCTTGACTGTCTCTGTAAGCAGCCAAAACCAGTTAGGTCTTGATGCTCACACAGAACAAAAGATGCTGCAGACAGTTTTAATCTCTCTCACCAGCTGGAAATGTAGTAATGTAAATTAGGACTGATACCAATCCTAGATTTCACGGAAATGTCTGTGTATCTTACAGTTGACTGGCTTATATGTGAACATATTTTTTGGCTCGCTGGGCATGCTTTCCAACAATTGTGCTTTTTAGGTTTCTGAGAACCCAAAGAAGCATTTTCAGAAGCATTGACATCCATATGAATTCCTTAGCTCCAGCTGGAGAAACGTTTTTTGAAATATTTTTTCATACATTTTCACTGTTTTCCCTGGCTGTCTTCACTGAAATCTTCCCACAAATCCTGAATCAGATAACTTGTTTCTCATTCTCAGATTAAAACTGCTAATTACCTTAAGTGGAGTACAGGTTGCACCGCACTATAATAACCAGACTAAAATTATGGTAGTTATATTTAAAATCTAGGTTGTGTCTTGAAGAAGTGGGCACTGATTAAATCAGTCATACAAGGCTTTTTGTGTTTATGGTTGCTTAGTGATTTGTGATATAAATAATCTATCATCTCCACTGTCTAAGTATGTAACTGATAAATGGTTAAAAGGACAAGATTCAGTATATATTTTCATTGATACACCATCTTTGATTTCATATCATATACATAGGTTTGAGTAAAAAACCAAGCTGAACATTTTGAGGCTCATATTCATTTGTAATTTGCAAGGGGGTAATTGTTTTTTTCATCTAGTTTTACAAGTCACAATAGATTCATGTGTTTCATAGGTTTCCATTGCATTGCATCGAGATGGGACTGATGGTCAAGCAACTGTGTTTTGGAGTTTGAAACCCTCTGGTGTCAATCAAAAGGCAGTAACACATGATGATATAAGTCCTTTTAATGGCTCTGTCGTTTTCTTATCTGGACAAAGTGATACTACAATCAACATTACTATTAAAGCTGATGATATACCTGAAATGAATGAAACTGTGTTATTAACTTTGGACAGGTATTGTACCTTAATCTCTATTCATATATATCAGTTGTAATACTCAATTTATATATAAAAGTTATTAATTAGGAGGTATTGCCTCTACTGTGTCGATAAGTGCTGAAGGAGTATTAGGGCCTTGATTCAGACTGTGTATGGATTCTTCTTTGACTGGAGATCAATGCAAGAAACTGTGTTGTATTTATTATCTAATGACTTAATTTTGTTTATACTTTGACGAAAATAATGTAAGCTATTTAGAAAGTTCTTTCAGCTTTGATCTTTAGTTATAACATGTATCTTTTCAGAAAAGTAAGATTTAGTGAGATGATCGAGAAAACTATAATGAAGAGTAGAAAGCAATACATAACTGTATTTCTGTCAGAAAAAGGTTTATAGCTAGGGTGCCATTGCAGAATTAGATCAGCTTTTTATTTGTTTGATCTGTACGTTCAGTATTGCTCGCTCTTGATAATTAGATAATTCCATCAGAACTCCTGGCTTCCAAAATAGCCCAGTGTGACCATTACCACAGTCTTTGGCTACAAAGAGAGCAATGGTGTTTCTGAAGCACTATGTTGTAGTCTCCCTTCTGCACAAGATCAGGATTATAGGATAATTAATGCTCAGGAGATGCTATTATCTGCATGTGATCACTACTCAGAATACTTAAATTAGTTCACATCCAGGAGTGTATCCCCTATTTGATATACTAACAGGAGAATCTTGGCTATGTCTTCTGTCCTGCTTTACAACTCAGTTGTATATACAGTTTAGAAATACCACCACTTCTACTACCCTATTAGTCTAAGGTACATTTTTCCACTTTTTCTGGAAACATACTAATGGGGGTCTGCCAGCAGCAACATCCACATTGAACATCTGCCACTTACACAGTCCTTACCTTATGCAGAAGTATTTTTGTCCTATATAGGAAGTGCAAACTAGCTCTTGGGAGCTTCGACATCAGATACCTGTGGTGATTATATACTAGCAAACCAGCAGTCAGCTTCTCAAGCTATCCTGTTTCAGAAAGCTTGTTTTTTGAACATCATTCTGTCACACAGGAAAGATGTTATTCCATTGCAGGACTGGCTTGCTTCTGTAAAAGCCGGCTGGTGGATGCATCTAGTGCAGAATGAGTTATTTCATTCTACTCTGGCTACTCACTACGTTGAAAAGACAATCCTGTTCAAGAGAAAAACAATTGGAGACTATTGCAAGCCGTTCTCTGCTTTCCTGGTTAATCTCAGGGAATTCATTAGAGTCTCTGGCACAAAGGGGGAAACTAAGATTAGAAGTGATGATGGAAATTGTGTAAGGTGGCCAAAAAATGGGAGTGGAAGGGTAGGAAACAAATAAGTAGATAGAGGATGTGGACAGTGTAAAAGGTTAACTTTTTAAGTTCCAACAGCTCTGCGGGTGTGTGAAACTATAGCTTTCTGCCATTTATTCTGAGTAGTAACCCTAGGCTGTGCCTTGAAAATGATGGCTACATTGAGGATTGAACTGGCAGCTGAACAAACTGTTCTGCTTTTACGATGTATGGTGGGAGTAGCAGGTTCTGCTGATCATGCAGTGGCTGGGAAAAGTGTGCCAGCAGTAAGCAGCTTTCCTACACTTGACAAGGTCAGAGAGTGAAATAAGGAACAGGTGGTCTGGCCTGGAAAAAGAAGTAAACAAGGAGATAAAATCTGAAATTTTCTCTAGACCTGGATAGTGTCCCTCAAGGCTATGAGTGAAATTTGGCAGCTTTAACTTTAGTAGAAGCCAAGAATGAAATGACTGCAAAATCACCCTTTCAGTACTGGGGATGACTCTTCAAATCAGAGTTGAAGGATACTGGCAGGGTTATGTGTGTAAGCTTGTGGTATTGCTTTCTGCATAGTTTGTATTTTCTGGATGAACAGAAGATTTCAGTTTCCAAGACTGGCAGCCAGCACCTCACAGCAGTAGTAAATTAGCATGAAAACAAAGATGCACTGTACTGTGGATGTGCTTGTACTGTTCTATAAATTGTAACATAAGTGAGTAAGAAAATAGAGCATGTAAGAACTTTAATGAAACTATAGACTCAGAAATACATCCGTAAGCATTCTATTTATTCCAATTAGTAATAGCATGGATAAAATAATAAAAATAATTAGTTCTAACAAGGATGTATTATTTACAACTCAGTGGTGTTCTTAAGGAAGCTTACATTTTAAATGAGCTTTAATTGCATCCATAACTATAAAATAAACTTTCCAAGCCATTAAAAATAATATTTTCTTTCCTTGTTCTATGGCCTCTGTCCATGGGCCGTAGATATTAAAAAATAACTCTGAATTATGTCCACAAAATGGAGGCCATTGTATATCATGAAGAATATGCTTCCAAAGAAGACAGATGAGTAATAAAGAAGCAAGACAATCCTGTAACTGCTGAAGCTTCTTCATATTTTCTTTTTTTAGGAGCAGCTTCATTAAAAAGCCATTAAAAATAATATTTTCTTTCCTTGTTCTATGGCCTCTGTCCATGGGCCGTAGATATTAAAAAATAACTCTGAATTATGTCCACAAAATGGAGGCCATTGTATATCATGAAGAATATGCTTCCAAAGAAGACAGATGAGTAATAAAGAAGCAAGACAATCCTGTAACTGCTGAAGCTTCTTCATATTTTCTTTTTTTAGGAGCAGCTTCAGGTTGAATGCCTGCCCATATCTGAATAGGCCTGAATTGAGACCAAACAAAAATAAAGCCAGATGTCTGTAGTGAAATCTGTATGAGAAAGAAAAGGCCTTGGTCTTCTTGATGAATGTAGGTGGAACAGGTCATGGAAATTGTGTGTATGCTTTGTGAAAGCATATATACATACTAGGGCTGTTCATTTTACCTGGTAAGCACAAACAGAAATAAATTTTTTAAAAATCTGATTGTTGTTTTTTCCTTCTGCACAACGTATTCTCCTACTGGCAGTTGTCATCCCCTCAGTAAGGTGCAGATACACAACTATCAATTTGGCAATTGGCACAAGTGGAGGGCCAGGACCGCAAGGGCATGTGGGTTGTGTTTGCAGTCTTAAATGAGTGGTGGTGAGAATGAGAACTTGTGGACTTTGGGATCTGTGAACAGCAATATACTGATAAATTGATTTTAATTTGTGAAAGTGATAATCCATGAACAGATGACTGTTTAAATAGTCCTTATGCTCAAATTTTTTTTGAGTCATGACTCATATAATTTAGGAAGCCAGAACGTATTAATGAACGTATGTTATGACTTAAATCTCATTTACTATATATAATAAAGCAAAAGTGAAGCAACGTAATGTGGGGATTTTTATAGTTCTAGTGGTTTCTGTGATGCAATACAAATTTCCACAGGCTGAAATTCTAACTTGAGTAAATTTAGAAAACAAATTTTTAAAAACCACGACAACTGCAAATGCAAAACATAGATTTGACTATTTCATTATGAAATGTCTGGTAATTTTTTAACATTTTTGTGTTTAAGAGATTACTTTATGTCAAAAAGTTAGCAAATCATAGCAGGCCCATTTAAAGCACTGCATACTGTATATGGTCCTTGATTCAGGGCTCAGGTGATGTTTATATGTTGTGGGTTGCTGTCTGCACTAGCATGCACAGAAGCACTAATGGAGCTGGGATTTTCTCCTAACTTGGTCATTTCCTGTGGCTAGTGTCTGTTTCAAAACGATATCTTACTTAAGTAATTTTTCTGTTAAGTAATATGTGCGATGCTATAGGAATTATCTCTTTCAGTGTGAACCATTGGCTTTGTCTTCAAGGGTTTGGTCAGACTTCATTTTGATGGGGGAAAAGGTGTTTGAAAATAGTAGTAGAATGTTGAAAAGAGTGCTACTGGACACGTACTGCTAGCTTTTATTACTTTTCAAAATAACAACACCATATGTCTCCTGCTATGAGTAACAAAAATTAAAATAGCCTCCAAAATCAAATAATTTGTGGATTAAACCTGGAGAGAAGGTGTTCCCTCTGATGAGAAGCACTGTGGAATTTATAATGTGGCAAATCCTACTTTAATACTGTTCTTTAAAGCTAGGCCCTGCCACTAATTAAATCAGTAGATAATCCTGAAAAAATTGAAGAGGTGAACACTGACTACAACTCTAGGAAGCAAACTGAGTAACATTCCACAGGCAATCTGAATGCACCTTTTCTGAGATACCCTGATAGAAAAGAAAGTTTTTTAGAGAAGTGTGTTTTTAATAGTAACAGCAATACATATTCACAATTGAAATTCAGTTTCTCAGATGCCTTTCAAAACATTCACTTTCTGCAGAATTCCAATTCTTGGTCCAAAGCTGTCAAATTTGACCACGGTACATCTCTTAATAAATATTATTTTATTTGCAGTGGTATTTAGTTCATAACGACATTGAAATTCCCATGTTACTTTAAACTCAAAAATCTTCTTTCTGATAGTTTGTAGTGCTATGTGTTTAAAAAAGTGCAAGAAACATTTTGAAGCTTCTGTTCGTTGTCCTAATTAATCTGTAGTTCTTGCTAAATAATAATTAAGGTTTTTTTAAAGAAAGAATTTCCCTAATGACGAGTCATTTCACATGAGATTTGTCATATGGAAATTGGGTTTTTTTGCAGCTTTTCCATCACAGGAGACACACTTACACAGTTTGAGATTGCGTTTCTTACGTTAGCATCATAAACATTGCCAAGGCTCATCCTCTGTGATAAAATGAAACTTCATGTCCACAGATAGCCATTTTACAGAATAAGTTAAGCTGAGGAGAAAGACAGGCAAGTGTCTTTCCCAGTGAGAGGGATCTCCTTACTCCTAGTCAAGTGCTGTCTCTAGTAGCTGGATTTCCTTGGTATGGCTAAGCAACTGGGTACAAGGAGTTGTTTTAACTTATCATTACTTCTGAATGCCCTCGCCTGGGCAAACCATGAGTTTTAGAAATTCTAAATAGCCATTTTTGTTCCATTTCTGCATTGCTGTTATAGGAATGCCTAAAGAGATGGTTTCACATACCACAAAGAAGGAAACAGGACTAAAGTGATCCTGTGAATTCCTTAGCAGTTTGGACATCTTTACTCTGCGACAGAAGGACTGTACATGAATAGCATGTTGTTCTTGGACATTGTCAGGGCATGTAGCAAGAGCTGATGGCTGGTGGCCTTGGGGCTGTGTGGTGGTGTAGAGCCAGGATTCCAGCCTGATAACATGGCTGGGTGAGGAGGGGCCCATCTCACCGCCTCCAGCAAAGCAGGAGAGCAGACTGGATCAGATAACTGGGGGCAAGCTGGAGTCCAGGGCATCAGGCAGGTTCATGGTGGTGGGGCAGGTCAAGCTAGAAACACACATCAAGTTTAGGCTTGATGATGGTCACTGGGGTCAGGCACAGCCCAGCGATTGCCAGGCAGGTCCACAGTGAGGAGACAAATCCAAGGTCAAGCTGGGAAGTAACCCAGTGGGTCCTGGTCCAGGGATTTTATGAGAATTTGTACGTGTGTACCTCAGAGTGTAGACACGAAGGATCCTACTGGTTACACTGTTCGTTGCTTGTGTAACAGCAGCTCAGAGTTGGAAGCCTAAGCCTAGGTGCTTCTATTCCATTTTTGCATAGGCTATTTTATGCCTTTTTTGAATAGTAACCAACGTTTACTCTGTCAGAGCAGTGATAGCAATCTGGCCAGTCACGCAGAGAAAACATGTTCAGATCAATCAACCAATAAATAAATAAATAAATAAATAAATTGATCCGAGTGTTGAAAATAGGACTTGGATAGAGAAACTTCCCGACCAATGGTTTCCTTTAGCAGTAGATGAGCTGAATCTGACTAGTTGCCTTCTGACCTGCAAGTTCTCTAGATTCCGATCTGACTTACTTACACTGTGACTGTTTTAAAGTAATAAAGTATTGCCAGTCTTCTTGGTCCTTTCAAATAACACCTGGAGATGCTCAAGATGCACACCTCATGGTACCTTGTGGCCATTTCATGTCTGCTACCATCTTCAGATTTCTGTAGTGCTGCCATTGTGCATTACAACAAAATATTAGTTTTAGCACTACTCCTCAGTTCATCTTAACAGGCTTTTATATCTGAGCTGTGTTTGGACTCATGCAGTGTAACTCCATGAAGCTGAAAGAGACTTTATTTCTGGCACGACCTTTCACTTTCTGATGAATTATTATGTCTTAACTACTTAAGCTTGCACATATATATCAAAAATTCTCTTGACATAATGGTTCATTTATATTCTCTGTTGTAAATTATATTACCAACAGCTTAGCAATATAATTGAATTTTAGCATTACCAACTCTGGAATTTTCTCCTTGATCTTTTCATTGTATTAATACTTTGATGGTCTTGGAACACTTTTGCATATGTTTCTGAAGGAAGGGAGAATGTCTCAATGTATAGTATTTAAAATCTAGCCTCATTGGAAATCAATGACAAATTTCTGTTAATTCAGATGTCCTATTTGAAAGAATGTATCTGCAAGTGTATTTGCTTTATTTTCTCAGAATTTTGAGTGAACTCTTATCTCTATTGAATTCCACATCTGAGTTCTTTTTGAGATTAGTGAAGTCAGAATTTCACTTTATAAATTCTGTGTTAATCTGTTTATGGTGTTTTGATAAAATATACAGGTTTTATATTTAATTTATATTTATTTTATGCTAAGAAAGCCAAAATGCATGCTTGCCATTGCAGAATAATACAGCCCTTTCATTTGACTTGATGTGGTAGTTTTGTTATAAGTGCTTGGCTGAAACTGAACCAATTGAGAGACTAGCAAATTCTCCTCTCCCCTCCCCTCCCCTCCCCTCCCGCCGCGGGAGGCGCGGCCGGGCGCCGGGGGGGAAGGGGCGGGCGCCCAGCTCCCCCCGGGCCCGGCGGGGGGTTTTTTTTGTGTTTTTATTTGTTATATTTCTATATTTATTATTTTACTTTGGCAATCCAATTAACTGAAAAATTGTCACAAATAAAGTTTGATGTAATTTTGTGCCAAAATAGTTTTTGATATATACCCATCCCACCTCCCACTCTGCTTATCTGTTTTTTTCATTACTTTGGCAGATTGATGAAATAACATATCGTGGAGGCATGTAGATTTTTTTTTCTTAATTGAAAGGCTATTTATAAACGTGGGCTGCTGGTGCAGTTGTGAGCAGGCACAGAGGCTGACAGTAATTGAGCTTTTGGAGAAGGGCTTGTAGGGTATACCATGAATGTGTCTTGACATGCTGAATTGGTCGTGGGGTCATTTCTCTAAGTGGGAACTGCTCACTTACTAGCATTTGTCAACAGGAAAATGCCGGGCAAGTAGGGTTCCCATAAAATGAACATTATAAGCTTTTGGAAAGGAAAAAGAAAGCTTTGTGTTCGTGGTTTTTTTTTTTTTTTAATTATTATTATTTTCTAAGATTAGTACTATTGAAATTCTAGCAAGTGGCACTGTCATTCTTTCCCCCATCCCCTTTCTTTCTTTCTCTGTTGACAGGGTAGAGACAGAAAGGTTTGTCGTGTACTTTGGGTAAGTGCAGTGAACTGTGGTTTGTCTTCCATGAATCAACGCTTTGTTTTACAAGTGGCTGGTTTGGACAGAATCTGTCTTTATAATTTCTTTTCCTCTCAGGAATCACATCTTTTGCGTCTCTTCAGACAATGCATGCTTGCCCTTTGGTGTTTAATTTGATGGCATGAGGTTCTGGCTTGAAGGCATTTCTTTATTTAGGATATGTGAATGATGAGAGTTATGAAAGCATGGCTCAGTGTTTGATAATTGAGCATTTGATTCAATAATGGATTAGTTGTTTTAAAAAGCCACAAATACGATTTGCTCCAACTAAAAGACTGAACTGACTAGAATTATAGAGAAGTTTTCTGTGGTCAAAGATGAGCAGTTATCTTGTTTTTGAATAACCTACATTTATTTTATGTTAACACAAGTTATTTTGTCTGCTGACATATTTTTTTAATGTGGAATAAACATGACATGTTACCCTATTAAATAGATATTTCCTGTTTTGCACCTTGTATCCTGCCTGTAGACTTTGCTACAAGCTACAATGCTATTTATTTTTTTTGGGGGGGGGGCATTCCAGTTATTTATGGAGTGTTTGTGGAAACAGTTACGGAACTGATTTCAAATATTGGATGTAATAGGCCACATTTCTTTCTACATGAAATAGTGTTTGATGAAGTGTGGGTTGTAGTACAGTGAAACCATAAAAAAAATTACAATATTGGGCAAGATTTCATTGACATTTTCTTCCAGGAAACACAGAAGATGCATAGGAATCTAAATACATAAAACACCATGTAATAAGCCATATCCAAACCGTCAGTCTGAAGGTGCATTCTGGATGCATCCTTCAGTAGTACGTTTTCTCGCATTTTTGATGTAATGAACTTGAAACAGTGTTGTTGAAAATTACCACATCTGAGGAAATGAATACAAGAAATGTGCAAAGTTTCCTTCTCTTGTCAGATATGGCCCATTTGTGCCCATGAGTAAGACCAAGACAGTGTAGCAGTAGCCCAGGGAGAGAAATCCTCCACCAAGAGGAGCACTGTTTGATCATGCCTGCACCATTCACCATGTGCCTTTAGGCAGCAGGTTTGTGAGTAAGGGAGGAGAAAGGGGATGAGTCTGAGCTACTGAAAGTAGGTCTAACACTTACTAGAGCCAAACTGGGATACTACAGGTAGTGTCCACATCTTACACAATGCAGGTTAACGCACAAGTGAGGATGAAAGCCACAGTAGTGAGGGCCAAGTCTCTTCCTATTTGCAGCAATAGTAAATTTTGTAGAAGAGGGTAAGACTATGTAGTTGTCAATGTAATTTCTATTTGTTTAAATTATTTTAGATTATCCTTTATGTTTTGATCCAAATACAAAGTAATACTAAACGTAACTCTTAACTTCTTACTGCACAATTCTTTTTCTTTTCCTGTGTGTTGTGTGCATGTGTGCCTAAAAAAACCCAGAATCACCAACTATAAAAACTAATTGGAAAACAGAGTTACTTCAGAAGCAAAGTTTTTTTTACAAATGGATAAAAGATACTGATGTGTCTTTCTTAATTTATTTTATTCTTTGCAGGTAATTGTTTGTTTTCATAATTTATTCATAAAATTCATCAATATTCTGATGTCCTTTGCTTAGGTGTGGATTTACTTGCCCAACAGGACTGTCACTCAAAAAACCCTCTTGCCTTCCTTTCTCAGGGTCAGTGTGGAAAATCAAATACTGAAATATGGGTTTACTACTTGTGAAATTATTATTTTGGAAAATGATGATCCTGGAGGAGTTTTCGAATTTTCTCCCGCTTCCAGAGGTCCCTACAGTATCAAGGTAGCTATCTGAGTCATTTCTCTTAATCATTATGTACAACTTATTTAAAGCAGAGTGCTAGAAAAAAGCTGGATTTTCTTTTTACAGGAAGGGGAGTCTGTCGAACTGCAGATTGTCCGCAGCAGAGGAAGTCTCGTCGGGCAGTTTCTACGCTACACTGTAGAACCAAGAGACAATAACGAGTTTTATGGAAGCACAGGAATTCTGGAGTTTAAGCCTGGTGAAAGAGAGATCATAATTACTCTTCTGACAAGGATGGATGGGATTCCAGAGGTAAAAATTCATATTTTTTACTCTTCAAATTTTGTTCACAGGCATATTAGTTTGTCACTTATTAAAATATAGGCAAATATGTAGGAGCAGAACAAGTGTGTAATGGCTTTTCTCCAGAATGTTTTCCCAGCCTCCAAACTAGGGATGCCTAGGTAAATAGAAAGTGTCTTTGGGTTTAATAGTCCTCAGTGGAGGACTTCAATTCAATTCAATTCAATTTCTGTGAATTGAAACAGTTACGCTTTGAATCCATATGCGTTTTTAGCATCCATGACATTCTGTAGTATCGAGTGCCATTGTTTAATTGAACTCTGTGTGAGGAGCCACTTCCTTTTTGTTTTTTTTCTAGTAATCATCTGCTAGCTTCACTCAATGCTCCCCAGTCTACACTAATATTGGCCTTATCAATACATAGGTGCAATACTTGTTTTAATGTTCCTTCAAGCATTACCTGTGAGCTTTTTTTCAAGAAATATATGAAGTACAAAGTCCCATTAGATTAATAAAGCAAGCTGATAAGTTCTTTCTAAATTAGTGTGCTGTCAATGGTTTTAAAATCTTTGCTTTCCCTGTTACAAAGCCAGAAACATTAATAAATCTTACAGAAAAGAAAATTTACCTTTCTGGGAGCATTACAAATATATTTGTACTAGTGAATTGATGTGATTCTAAGTTAAGTACACAATGTAAGTCCTTGCCTATTTGTTTTGGATGTGAATACTGAATATGTATTTTTATTCTGACTGAGTTTCCCTCTTTCAGCTGGACGAGATATATTCTGTGGTGCTCAGTGGCTACAGTGAAATGCCAGGCAAGTTGGGGAATGCCACAGTGGTCAATATAACCATTTTGAAGAATGATGATCCACATGGTGTCATTCAGTTTCTACCTGATGAACTATCAGTAACAATACAGGAAAGTAAAGGAGAAATCATCTATGCTGGTAATTCTTTTTTATTAGAGTTACTGCTTTATCTGCTGTCTGCCCCTGCAAGGCTTCTTTTCCCCATTTCACCTTTTTAGGACAATGTCTGACACAAGTCTCCACTCAGGATTTTCCAGAGTGGTACAGTGCCAGCAAGATGAGCAGTGGAGACTGAAGTGGAGAAGGATGGGCCTGGAAAGACAGAGGGATGAATCCAATAAAAAAATGGCTAGAGAATATGCCAGACAGGAGGAACGGAGTATTGATGTATATGCAAAGTGCAACCTCGAGGTAGTAGCTCTGTTTGTGGAGCATGAAGAATAGGGTACAATGTGAGAGAAGAATAGAGCTAAATCGTCATATGGGTGACTTCAATTTATCTATCTCTATTCAATTATCAAGTACATTTACAGGCAAAAAAAACCAAATTTGAGCAGGTTTGAACTGCTTTAACAGTCTATCTTTGTGTGTCCTTTCGTGTAGTGCTCTCACATATTATTAGTTTCTCAAGAAGTGGATTTGTTTATTTCCTTTCCTTTTTCTTTGGTTCAGCTTTGCTGACCTTTTTCTTTTTGATTTGTGTTGTTCTGAAGATGCTCACTGACTGTATATGTTTGCATTTTTTAGCTGCTTACAGAGTTGTCAGAAACCAAGGAAACTATGGCAATGTTAGTGTGTCTTGGGTTGTTGACCCAGCATGTACCAATGACATCTATCCAGAAGAAGGGACTATTTTCTTTGATAATCTGGAGTTTTCAAAAAATATCACCATTTACTCACTGCCAGATGAGGTAAACATTTTTACAGTGTTTTTGTGTGAGTATATGGGACAAAGAGTAAGTGCTAAAACATTACAATTTAAAGAGAAAGAAGGAATGTCTGTTTTTTAAGAGCCTGGTAAGTATTTGTAGGAAAATCAAAAATGCATGGGTAAAACTGAGATTACTTCAACAAATCATAAAAGAATCTGAGAAGCTGTGCATACCTATAAACAAAAAAAGTTAGAAGCTGAGAGTAGTTGAATGTGGTTAAATTGTAGAAAAGTTCATTTGAATAAAACCCTTGTTTTGATAGCAGGAATCCTAATTTTTATTTTTAATGCTATCATCTATGATATATATGAAGTAATATAAGAAATAATGAGAATAATTAATAATAAATAAATAAAACTGTAAAAATAAATTACATGTATCAGAAGCAGGATAACTTTTGGGTCATCCGTACAATAGTAGAGATGAGGGGACTTATCTACAAGGATTTTAGACTGATGATGATTTCTGTGTAACTGTATGAACTGTCATTTGTCATTCCTCTTGACACACTTTAGGATCAATAAATAAAAAACAACACTCAAATCTCTGCTTTGTTAACCTTCTCAGCTGTTCATTTTAATTTGTACATTGTTTTGTATGCAAGAAATTAATTTTTTAATACTTTCTTTTTCAGGTACCTGAAGAGATGGAAGTATTCATCATCAGCTTATTCAGTGCTGCTGGTGGAGCCAGGCTGGGCAATATAACCAGTGCAATTTTACAAATTACAAGGAATGATGATCCCATTTATTTTGCAGGTTAGATGTTATTGTTTTTAAATGTAGAATACATATACTACCCCAAACAGATTTTATTGACAGACCAGATCATTGAGAAATCCTAATCCTAGTGGAACTAGTATAAATTGTTCATGTTTTTGTTGTGTTGAATTTGTATTTGTTTCCTTCAGAACCTTCCCTTATTTTATTTCATTCTTCTCTTTGTCGGTGCTGGGATTGGTTAGGTGGCTAAGTACAACAATATTCTCTTTTACCCTCAAGTATTTCCATACCTTTACCACATATGCCTTCTGTTTCACTGAGGAGAAGGAATCTCTTGGGGCGAATTAAGAAAATAGGCCACATGCAAGGAGCTCGGGCTTGAACTCAGGTAATTTGTTGCTTGTCTATTTTCAGAACCTCTGACAGTGAACGTTAAAGAAGGAAGTGTTGCAAACTTTACAGTCCTAAGGAATGGATCTGCTGATGTTGCTGTTGCTGTACAGTATATTACTGTTAATGGAGATGCAACAGCTGAAGAGGGAGACTTTGTTCCCAGTGGAAAGAGCAGTGTCATTTTGTTTGATGTTGGAGCAAGAGAGCAGAACTTATCTGTGTATATTAATGACGATGATATCCCTGAAACTGATGAAACATTTTATATCTTCCTTTTGAATTCTACAGGTAAAAGTAATGATTTGATGTATGTTTAGTAACTCTCCTTTATGTTTTTTCCTGCAAGTTTTTTACCAGCTTGATCTTATCATAAAGCAATATATGCCAGGTATTGTATGAATAAGATTTGTTTCAACATTTCTATGCAATTACTGTACACAGTGTGTTTGGATTTTCATCTTGAATTGTTTAATTGCAAAAAAAAATCAAATGATACAGCTGAAACCTTTCCTGCAAAAACAACTGGAGTGAAAGTCTCTTTTCAAATGTAAATGCTCCAAATTAGATGGGGCTTTGACTTGACTACAGAAACACAAGCCTAAAGAATGTTAGTACTGCAATAGTCTTAGGCAGTGTATACTACACAATTGCCTGATTTTTGTAAAAACAAACAGAACTGCCTTATTTTAGAGGAAAACCATGTAAATTGGTCTCTGTTTTATTTTTGTAGTAGTGCAATGTATGCATACATTTTTTTTCAGTCTGACATTATAGTTTTACAAGGCTTAATCGACAGAAAAATGTGTGTTAGAAATTCCCCAATGTACCACCAGTAAAGAACGGGTTTATTATCTTAGAAATATATTTTTTTAAAGTTATCATTTAGCAGGAAATGATACAGAATTATTCAGCACATTCCTATTTTTGAAATAAACGTCTTCTGGAATAAACCATCACTGCTATGTAATATTGATAAGAAAATATGTGTTAAATGTAACAAATAGGTAAATTTTCCTGGGCTCTACCTGCTTAATAAAGACCCTCTCCACGCCTAGTCTTGCTAAAACTCAAGGTGTAGTGGGAGAGTAATCTACAATTGTGTTAGCAAATTTTAATGATTTACTGTCCTTCAGGTGTTATTATTCTGTAGCTGAGATGTAATAACAGGCTGTGAATGCACTGCGTATCTTTGCAATGTAAACTGAATTGAATAATCCATCAAAACGAGGACTAAGACTTGAGGTGCTGTAATTTATTAAAGCAAAAGAAAACTGTCATAATTAACCATCAGACCATACCTTCATATTAGATTGTGTGACAGGTTCACAAAGTAAAATGCCTACCAGGGATTCAGTTCAAGATGAGGAAATATAAAATTAGATTTCTTCATTTAGACATGCACACTAAGTGTCTTAGCCCTCATTACAGTCTATAATAATCTGATTCACAGTCAGTGAGACTGAGAGAGTGCTTCAGGTTACACGAAAGTGGACACCCTGTGGCTGGTCTATGAACTGCTGACAAGGTTTCACTGATCTTGAACTGCATCTGCCCTAGACATTGGTAGCAGGCAGCCAGAGAATTATAGGCGAATTTTTAGCAATTATTTGAATATAAGGTAGCTTATGTGTTTCCTGAGGTCAGCTCACATTCACTCTAGTACCCAGGTCTCTTACAGAACATCAACCTTATGGAAAGCATCGGACAAAATCATTCTTCTCTCTTCTTAAGTTTTCTCTTCTGTGATCTCTTTCTACTTTACTAACTTTCTTCAGGATCTATTGGTATTTTCTCTTACCACTCCACTGGGAACGTATGATGGCTTTCCTCCCAGCACACTGGTCCTACAAGACTGGGTAACTGCAGGCTCCCTTTGCCTCTAAAAGGAAGATCATATCATCATGTAGCCTCTCTAGAATCACTAAGAGTACAGAGTATTTCTATACACATTCTTGAAAGCAAAAAAATTTGTTTTCTTTCTATGATCTGTTACATTTATTGACCTTGATTGTTACATCCCTTTTCAAAACTATGTTGCAGTGTTGTACCTCAGAGAAAATACAGATAGAGGTATATGAAGTTAAAGTAGCAAACACATTGTTTACTCTGGAACAAAAGCTAGTCTAATGCTCTGAAATAGGGTGAAAAATGGGATGGGGGTGGAAACATAATGTACATCTGTGGACACAGGAAGGGTGTTAGAATGTTCCTACAGTGCTAATATACACACAGAAATCCTACTAGCTTCCACTCTGCTTCATGGGTATCTTATATTTTTCCTTTCAGATAGACTGTGATATGGGTATGAATAAACTCTTAGACATTGTTATTAGCTTGTATTTAGCTTAAGTGCAATATTTCTATTCTAGGTCTAAACGAGAGCTGGAATCTCTGAATACATCTCTTTTTCTTTTGACTTGACCAATGGATCAAACATGAAATACTACCTCTCATACAATCCTTTCTGCTTAGAATCACATCTTCTCTGGTCACGTCACATATAGTTTTTTCCTGCAAATCTTAGTCTTGCTTTCTGCATGAGATGCTACTTAAGTGTTTTACTCTGATTTGCCAGTTACTGAATATATCGAATATTGGTTTTCACTGATTGTTTTATCATTGTTTGTTCCTTTGTTTGCATAAAAGCGGTTGGTGTGAGAAGCAAACACCTTCACTTTTAGAGTTATCTCCATTTCTGATTCCAGTTTTGATAAAATTAATAACCCTCTTTTTAGGGGATACTGTTATCTTGAAGTATGGAGTGGCTACAGTTATTATTGAAGCAAATGATGATCCTAATGGAATTTTCTCCTTGGAACCTGTAGAGAAGCCAGTGGAAGAAGGCAAAAGTAACACTTTTTTGTAAGTAACTTTTAAATAATACTTTTTCACTTTTTTTGAATGATGTATGTGGTACTTTATGGATAGTACTTTGATCTAATCCCATACAACTTTGCATTGATAAAAATGTATTAAAGGAAAACAGCTTTACTAAATTTTGGATTAAATCATTTATAAACATATTGAAGGCATCAACAGCTATATTATCAAGTAGACTGTGCATATTAAAATGTATACAGAAATTTATCTTAAAATGTAAATAAATAAGACTACAACATTGTTGGTTTCTTATATTCCCAGTAGACTTTAGATAGAGAAGAATCTTGATGATTGAGGGGAATATAACCTGGACTAACAGAGAAGTAAAAAATCTTCTCAAAATACAGCTAAATACAACTATGGGGTTGTTCATTTCTTTTTGCACCCTACCTTGAAGCCTTCCCCTAAAAACATCCTATATTACTGTATTCTTCCTGATAGTTTGTTTTTCTTCTGTCTGTTAATTACAGATGGAAGTCTATACTCAAAGTCCAGATGTGACTGTCTTCTAGACTGAAAATACTCTTCCCTAGTCTGACCTCTGAAGTATTTTCCTTCCAGCCACTGGGATGTATTAAAAAATGGGAAGGGTTAAGAAATGAATTTGCTTGGCATCTTACCTTGTTATGTTCCATAGAGTCAGGATGGGATTATAATTTGACAAAAATACTGATTTTTCATTAAGAAAGCTCTAGACAGGATATAAAGAGAAGTTAGGCCACAATAAATGTGATAGTGTGAACAGTTAGGAAAAAGGCTCTTTTCACATTTGTTTCGTTATCTTTTCTATCCTTTTATTTTTTTGTTTGTTTTAAGGCCTTGAAACAGATGTATATAACTGTGAATTAGGTCTTTATTCTTGTGTTACACATCTAACAAATGAAAATCCTTGAGAAAAGAGGATATTAAATATATTGTGTGTTTGGTTTTGTTATGCTGCTCTTTAGGGGTTTTTTTGTCCTTTATAATCTTATTTGCATGATAAACATTTTTGATTTGATGGTGTGAAGAATGATGATTTTAACTAAACATGTTTATACACAGGTGCTTTATGGAAGCACATGATACCAAGATCACCAACATTTGAGGACCTTGCTCAGTTCTCATCGATGAAATATATTTACTAGGGAGCTGTCTCTTCCATACCCTCACTACTTTGGCTGCTGTGTAGTACATAACAAAAGGGTCAGAGTACCATATAACCTAACCACTAAGAATAACTGTGGCGGCACTGAGCTTTAAAGGGAGTAATTGGAGTTACTGCAACAGTGCTACACAGCTGGCATAGAGGGCCCTGGTTATGGTAAAAAAAGAAAAAAACTTTGGAAGCAGAAACAACATAACTGTATTGCTGTGCCTAGACTAGTTTTGCTGACCTCATTTTTCAGCCTGATATAATCTCTTTGTACAGCATTTTACTTCACTGTGCGAACAGAGGCACACATTTTGTATGTAAAGTGCATTTTGTTAATAAAGACACTTTATGCATCAGTTTTTATTTATAATGCCTTTTGGAAATTGGTGGAATTATGTTACCAAATATCTATAAAAAGAATAAAATCTTGTTTTTATTTACTACATTCTTAATCTGGAATAACCACAGATTTCTGAAGGACATAGAACATAACCCAGATTTAATACCAATGCAAGAAAGAGTTTAAGGAGGCTTGATGGTTAAAGGGAGAAATGTTTGTGGTTAAATGTAGATGATTCTCATTCTTGTCTAAGGGTGGCCAGGTATATCAATGTTTAATTTTAACTTGCTGAACTATTATACATTCATATTTATTATTTACAAAATAGAAGTGCAAGACAAACTGATGCTTAGCTTAGCAGTACTACTTTGCATGGACCTGCATTGGTTACTTTTTTCCTAAGGTACCTGTGGTATACCTGGGTGTACAATTATACTGTGAAACTGCAGGCCTTCAAAGAGGATTGTGTTATTGTTCATGGTTGTATTTATTGTTCATGGTTACTTGCAACATTGTAGGTTATTTTTCACAGTAAGGAAGATCAGGGTAATCGTGTTTTTGCTTGCTAAAGAATGCTGATGCATACCTGCCAGGATGTTCACTCTTTCTGTATCACTGAACAGGGTTTTGAGACATAGAGGACACTTTGGCAATGTCTCATTGACTTGGCAGCTCTTTGATAATGACTCTGCGCTGAGGCCGGGAGAAGAGTTCTATGAAACTTATGGGACTGTGTGCTTCATGGACAGTGAAGGATCAAAGCCAATAACACTCCATGCTATTTCAGATAGAATTCCTGAGTTCAATGAATTTTACATTCTAAAGTTGGTGAATGCTTCAGGTATTGTCTTCCATATCACCATTCCCTTCATATCTGGTAGAAAAGAATTATGTTTAATCAATCAAAAAGAAACCAGCTCTTGAAAGAGCTTTGCCTTGAATCATGTCTTGATATCCTGTACTTTTCTGGTAAGATTTTAGGTTTTATTTTTCATTTAATCTTAATTTAGGTATATGAATGCAGTTATTCAGTTCCTGAATTACTGTTATACACATTTTGGTGGCCTGACCTTTAAAAATGATGCCTCTTGGTGATTTCAGAGATATAGATCTTCAGGTAGTTGAAGACAAAATAAAGCTATTAAAGGCTATGCATGTCAACCATAATGGAGGCTGGTTGATTTGTTTCCTTTTTTTCTAGAGGAGGACATTTTCTGTAAGTGAAATCCATATGCATGTACAGAAAATTTCCTACATATAGTAAGTAGGTCACTGCACACTTTGAACATGGAGGCTCTACATTCACATCATGATCTTTATATCATGAATTCTTACTGTGCAGAAATAGATGACTAATGGCAGGACTTGGCAGCAGTTTTAATACACAACTGGTTACTGATTTTGCAAGGTATCTCTGCTCCTGTTTCAGAGGCAATGGGCCAAATTTTGCCATTCCATATTTGTGTAAATCTTGGAGTAATATGAGAACTGAATTTGGCCCCATGTTTATCAAATGAATCAAAGGTAACCTATCTCATTGACTAATTCATAAAAAAAAGAGCTAATCTTGTTTTAGCCGTAAAACAACTGTATGTTCTGAAGTTGAAAAATGACATGCTGCTTTGTTTTCTATGAAAATTGTGTCACTGTAGTGTTTTAAACACAATACAGTTAAATTATGTTATTTTTAAATTAGAGCATTTTCTAAGAGTTCAGAGGCTCTTTAAAGAAGATTTAACCCTTTTTAGAAACATATTTTATTAAAAAAACTTTAAGTACTTAGTAACTTTTTTTGAACTGTGCTGCTTGAAACCAACCATTAACTTTTGCTCTAACTTCCATTATATAGGTGGGTCTCCTGGTCCTGGTGGTCAGTTATCTGAAACAAGCCTTGGTGTAACTGTGATGATCCCATTCAATGATGACCCTTTTGGAGTCTTTGTTATAGATCCAGAGAGCCAGGACAGAGAGATAGTGGAAGATGTTCTTTCTGAAGATGACCTTTCCTATATTACAGACTTCACCATCTGGAGACAACAAGGCACCTTTGGTGTTGTCCGGTTAGGTTGGGAAATACTGTCTAGTACATTCCAAGCTGGACTACCATCAATGGTAGACTTCTTGTTGCTGGGATCATTTCCAAGTTCAGTACAATCCCAGCCTCACAGGAGGCGTCATCATAGTGGAACAGATGCTTTGTATTTCAGTGGAAAAGACGATGCATTTGGGATTATTGGTCCAGAATACCCGTACAATGGAAATACTGCAGTAACCAATTTTACGTTTTCAGCATGGTTAATTCCTAATGTCAGTACTGATGGTTACATAGTTGAAAAGGATGATGATAATGGGTCCTTATATTATGGCGTGAAAATCCAGACAAATGATTCTCATGTTTCTGTAGTGCTTCATTATACAGCATTAGGATCCAATATGACATACATGGCTAAAGCAGCAGTCCTGAAATACCTGGATGAAAATACTTGGCTTCACCTCCTGATTACTCTGGATGAAAGTATAATTGAATTTTACATGGACGGAATTCCAGTTCTGGGAGGAATTAAGAGCCTTAAAGGAGAAGCAATTGCTGATGGTGAGCCAATAGCCTGCATTATTTTTCTCCATATGTAAAGTTCAGTAAAGGAGTCTAGCTCCTCAACAAGTGTATGCAAGATACTGAAATTATTATATTTTATTAGTTAATTGAAAAGAATAGAGGAGGACATTTTCTGTAAGTGAAATCCATATGCATGTACAGAAAATTTCCTACATATAGTAAGTAGGTCACTGCACACTTTGAACATGGAGGCTCTACATTCACATCATGATCTTTATATCATGAATTCTTACTGTGCAGAAATAGATGACTAATGGCAGGACTTGGCAGCAGTTTTAATACACAACTGGTTACTGATTTTGCAAGGTATCTCTGCTCCTGTTTCAGAGGCAATGGGCCAAATTTTGCCATTCCATATTTGTGTAAATCTTGGAGTAATATGAGAACTGAATTTGGCCCCATGTTTATCAAATGAATCAAAGGTAACCTATCTCATTGACTAATTCATAAAAAAAAGAGCTAATCTTGTTTTAGCCGTAAAACAACTGTATGTTCTGAAGTTGAAAAATGACATGCTGCTTTGTTTTCTATGAAAATTGTGTCACTGTAGTGTTTTAAACACAATACAGTTAAATTATGTTATTTTTAAATTAGAGCATTTTCTAAGAGTTCAGAGGCTCTTTAAAGAAGATTTAACCCTTTTTAGAAACATATTTTATTAAAAAAACTTTAAGTACTTAGTAACTTTTTTTGAACTGTGCTGCTTGAAACCAACCATTAACTTTTGCTCTAACTTCCATTATATAGGTGGGTCTCCTGGTCCTGGTGGTCAGTTATCTGAAACAAGCCTTGGTGTAACTGTGATGATCCCATTCAATGATGACCCTTTTGGAGTCTTTGTTATAGATCCAGAGAGCCAGGACAGAGAGATAGTGGAAGATGTTCTTTCTGAAGATGACCTTTCCTATATTACAGACTTCACCATCTGGAGACAACAAGGCACCTTTGGTGTTGTCCGGTTAGGTTGGGAAATACTGTCTAGTACATTCCAAGCTGGACTACCATCAATGGTAGACTTCTTGTTGCTGGGATCATTTCCAAGTTCAGTACAATCCCAGCCTCACAGGAGGCGTCATCATAGTGGAACAGATGCTTTGTATTTCAGTGGAAAAGACGATGCATTTGGGATTATTGGTCCAGAATACCCGTACAATGGAAATACTGCAGTAACCAATTTTACGTTTTCAGCATGGTTAATTCCTAATGTCAGTACTGATGGTTACATAGTTGAAAAGGATGATGATAATGGGTCCTTATATTATGGCGTGAAAATCCAGACAAATGATTCTCATGTTTCTGTAGTGCTTCATTATACAGCATTAGGATCCAATATGACATACATGGCTAAAGCAGCAGTCCTGAAATACCTGGATGAAAATACTTGGCTTCACCTCCTGATTACTCTGGATGAAAGTATAATTGAATTTTACATGGACGGAATTCCAGTTCTGGGAGGAATTAAGAGCCTTAAAGGAGAAGCAATTGCTGATGGTGAGCCAATAGCCTGCATTATTTTTCTCCATATGTAAAGTTCAGTAAAGGAGTCTAGCTCCTCAACAAGTGTATGCAAGATACTGAAATTATTATATCTGATTAGTTAATTGAAAAGAATAGATAGAAAATTCTGAGGATTTTCAAAAAGCATATGGAAATTAGAGCTGGGAAAGTTCAAAAAATTCAGAACTGTAACAGAGCTTGGATTTCAATAATTTGAAAATAAAATAATAATTTGTTATTATATTTATATATGTATGCTTATCATGTATACATACAGTTACATATGTTTGCAATTAATAATTTCCATAAGATTTACAGGACTGTAGCTGAAAAAGGACTTTTTTCCTCTCAGTTTCTGAAACAAAATGTGATAATGACTTTTTTTTCTAGTTGTGTTTTGTATTACAACTAAGCCAACACCTAGTGAGCAATAGAATTTTTCAGGGTGTAGGTTTACTTAAGAACGTATCTACATGGTAGATGAAAACTATGCCTGTAAGTTTAATAGTGTTCCAAGAAACATTAGCATGTGTACTTCAGTTTATCTGACTGGATAGTCCCAGATGTGATTTTAGTCACAGGTAACCATTATGGACATTCACTCTGAACTAGCACAGCAGTGACCAGAGAAGTATCAGAACAATTCTTTTATAAAGTCAGATATTATGTGGTCAGAATACATTTGTAGTTACTCTTTCTTTTGCAGTTTCCCACTCTTCCACGTGCATTTTTTTTCATGGAGATCATCTCCATCCCTTTTCCTTTCTTCCTCTCATTTTCAGTTCCATATGTTTTCTTTGGTGGGGGTAGGCAGTGAATGATTATCAAATTCTTGAATACGATCTCCTTTTCTGCAATGAAGGAAGGAGAATTAAATAACTTACAATGATGTTAAATTCATATCACCTATGTGCGTATATGTGTACAAACATAGAGAGAATAGAGAGGAGACTTCATTAATTTTATAGTGTAGTATTTTATATCTGCCTGTAAATTTCCAGTGGTTGAAGTCTGAGAAATAAATTTGCCCTCCGTAACAAAGTAGTGCCTCTGCAATTAATAATGTCCATCCGACTTGCAGTATTGTAGCTCAGAAAGGATTTTTTTTCCCCTCCGTTTCTAAAACAAAGATGTGTGAAATGCAATAATGCTTTTTTGCTAGAAGGATATATCTGAGTCATAAATTTTCTATATTAGTGGAGATGGCATATGCTCTGTCTGGAGATACTACAAGTATAAGGTAAGGATTTAATCTCTCTCCATTTAATGTTGGATACTACACAGTGGTGAGCATAGTAGCCTGTTTTTTCTCACCATCCTCTGCCTTGTGTCCTGGGACCGTTATCAGTTGCTGAGATTGCTCACCTCTAGAACTGACACTTGAGTGTCATATGTATGCCAGGACATTCAAGAGCACAATTTCTTTCAAAACCAGTAAACAGCTGGAAATAAAGATATCGATGTGTTTTAGCACAATAGGAATGAGTATGAGCTACCAGCTTAGTATATTTGTGAAAAAGGCAGCTGTGATCCTATGATTTGATAAGTAGGATAATGGTTTGGAGACGGAGAAATATTAATGCTGTTGTAAACATCATTTGGAATTTGGCGTACATTTCTGAAGTCCATCTTCCCAGTGCATTAGGGGAAAAGCATGTCCAGAAGGGCTAATGCAGTGCTGATGAGTATCATAGAATCATAGAATCATAGAATAGTTTGGGGTGGAAGGGACCTTTAAAGGTCATCTAGTCCACCCCCCCTGCAATGAGTAGGGACATCTTCAACTAGATCAGGTTGCTCAGAGCCCCATCCAGCCTGTCCTTGAATGT